CAAAGGGTGGCTATTTGAAGAATCTCAAATATAAAATATATTTTGATTTGTTTAACACTTTTCTGGTTACTACATGATTCCATATGTGTTATTTCATAGTTTTGATGTCTTCACTATTATTATACAATGTAAATAATAGTAAAAATAAAGAAAACCCCTTGAATGAGTAGGTGTGTCAAAACTTTTGACTGGTAGTGTATATATATATATATATATATATATATTTATTAACGTGATGGGATGTATAGACGTTATGGACAGTATGTGGATAGAATATACAGTGCCTTCGGAAAGTATTCAGACCCTTTGACTTTTTCCACATTTTGTTACGTTACAGCCTTATTCTAAGTTAATTAAGTAGTTTTCTCCCCTCATCAATCTACACACAATACCCCATAATGACAAAGCAGAAACTGTTTTTTAGAAATGTTTGCTAATAAAAAATAAAATAAAAAACTGAAATATCACATTTACATAAGTATTCAGACCCTTTACTCAGTACTTTGTTGAAGCACCTTTGGCAGCGATTACAGCCTTGAGTCTTCTTGGTTATGAAGCTACAAGCTTGGCACACCTGTGTTTGGGGAGTTTCTCCCATTCTTCACTGCAGATCCTCTCAAGCTATGTCAGGTTGGATGGGGAGCATTGCTGCACAGCTATTTTCAGGTCTCTGCAGAGATGTTTGATCAGGTTTAAGTCCGGGCTCTGGCTTGGCCACTTAAGGACATTCAGAGACTTGTCCCGAAGCCACTCCTGCGTTGTCTTGGCTGTGTGCTTAGGGTCGTTGTCCTGTTGGAAGGTGAACCTTCGCCCCAATCTGAGGTCCTGAGAGATCTGGAGCAGGTTTTCGTCAAGGATCTCTCTGTACTTTGCTCCGTTCATCTTTCCCTCGATTCTGACTAGTCTCCCAGTCCCTGCCGCTGAAAAACATCCCCACCATGTTTCACCATAGGGATGGTGCCAGGTTTCCTCCAGACGTGACGCTTGGCATTCAGGCCAAAGAATTCAATCTTGGATTCATCAGACCAAATAATCTTGTTTGTCATGCTCTGAGAGTCTTTAGGTGCCTTTTGGCAAACTGCAAGCGGGCTGTCATGTACCTTTTACTGAGGAGTGGCTTCTGTCTGGCCACTCTACCATAAAGGCCTGATTGGTGGAGTGCTGCAGAGATGGTTGTCCTTATGGAAGGTTCTCCCATCTCCACAGAGGAACTCTAGAGCTCTGTCAGAGTGACCATCGGGTTCTTGGTCACCTCCCTTACAAAGGCCCTTCTCCCCGATTGCTCAGTTTGACCGGGCGGCCAGCTCTAGGAAGAGTCTTGGTGGTTCCAAACTTCTTCCATTTAAGATGGAGGCCACTGTGTTCTTGGGGACCTTCAATGCTGCAGAAATGTTTGGGTACCCTTCCCCAGGTCTGTGCCTCGACACAATCCTGTCTTGGAGCTCTACAGACAATTCCTTCGACCTCATGGCTTGGTTTGTGCTCTGACATGCACTGTCAACTGTTGGACCTTATATAGACAGGTGTGTGCCTTTCCAAATCATGTCCAATCAATTGAATTTACCACAGGTGGACTCCAGTCAAGTTGTAGAAACATCTCAAGGATGAACAATGGAAACAGGATGCACCTGAGCTCAATTTCGAGTCTTATAGCAAAGGGTCTGAATACTTATGTAAATAAGGTATTTAGGTTTTTTATTTTTAATAACTTTGCAAAAAGTTCTAAAAACCTGTTTTTGCTTTGTCATTATGGGCTATTGTGTGTAGATTGCTGTAACGTAACAAAATGTGGAAGTGGTCTGAATACTTTCCGAAGGCGCTGGATAGTACAGTATATCTGAAGAGTGCTTAAGATAGAATAGTATATGTACAGCAATAGTTAAATAGGATGGACTTGACTAGAATACAGTATTTACATATGAAATGAGTAAAACAGTATGTAAACATTACTAAAGTGACCAGTGTTCCATTATTAAAGTGACCAGTGATTCCATGTTTATGTATATAGGGCAGCAGAAGGAATGGGACTGTAGGAATGGGACAGTAGGGATGGGACAGTAGGGATGGGACAGTAGGAATGGGACAGTAGGGATGGGACAGTAGGGATGGGACAGTAGAAATGGGACAGTAGGGATGGGACAGTAGGGATGGGACAGTAGGGATGGGACAGTAGGGATGGGACAGCAGGGATGGGACAGTAGGGATGGGACAGTAGGGATGGGACAGTAGGGATGGGACAGCAGGGATGGGACAGTAGGGATGGGACAGTAGGGATGGGACAGCAGGGATGGGACAGCAGGGATGGGACAGTAGGGATGGGACAGTAGGGATGGGACAGTAGGGATGGGACAGCAGGGATGGGACAGCATGGGTGTTATAACTAGTAGAGAACATTGAGATCTATCACCATCAGGCAGCAGGAGTCTATGACACAGAGGGGGTGGACTTATGATTAATAGCAATGTTCTAGAGATGTATGAGTAGTTCTTTTTATGAAGAGTTCTGTTGGAATGCTTGCTCAGCAGTTTTAGTTTACAGAGAGAGAGAGGAGAGAGGAGAGAGAATTGGAGGAGTCAGCAAGTCAGGAGGACAACTACAAGGGACTGTACCAGGGAGCTGTCACATTCGTCTCCCAAATGGAGCTTACCAGGAGACACAATGTGCATCCCAAATGGCACCCTATTTCCTTTGGAGTGCACTACATTTGGCCAGGGACCATAGGGCTCTGATCAAAAGTAGTGTGCTACAAAGAATAGGGTGTCATTTGGGACACTGTAATAGATAGGAGCCCGTGTGGTGGCTTGCTAGGCTAGCCTTTTCATATAGCCTTTTCATATGACTCTACTTCTTATTTTTATGTTTTATTTATTCTATCAAATGGACATTGAAGCCTTCAAGGCTAGTGGCTTGCAAGAGGGTGGGATTTATGCTCTGAGAAAGTAGTGCAGGGAAGCTAAGACTGGGTTCAGTGTTTCGTGTTTCAGTTTGTGGTTGCTGCCAAAATGGCAAAGGGGTCCAAAAGGTAAGCCATGGTTAGAATGAGATGGATTTCTCATACAAGAAAATACTCAGAAGGCTATATATAAATCCTTAGACTAGTATTACATATGGACTTCTCAAAAGGAAATTATATTCCCTTCAGAATGATAGAAAATATATTATTAAAAAGATACTTAACAGATACAGTATAACCTTATCCTATATATCAGCTTATCCTATCTATCAGCTTATCCTATATATCTGCTTATACTATATATCAGCTTATCCTATATATCAGCTTATCCTATATATCATCTTATCCTATCTATCAGCTTATCCTATATATCAGCTTATCCTATCTATCAGCTTATCCTACATATCATCTTATCCTATCAAATCAAATCAAATTTAATTGGTCACATAAACATATTTAGCAGATGTTATTGCGGGTGTAGCAAAATCCTTTCTATCAGCTTATCCTATCTACACTCTTAGAGAAAAGGGTTCCAAAAGGGTTCTTGGGCTGTCCCCAAAGGAGAACTGTAGCTCAGCTGGTAGAGCTGTGGTCCTCTGTAGCTCAGCTGGTAGAGCTGTGGTCCTCTGTAGCTCATCTGGTAGAGCTGTGGTCCTCTGTAGCTCAGCTGGTAGAGCTGTGGTCCTCTGTAGCTCAGCTGGTATAGCTGTGGTCCTCTGTAGCTCAGCTGGTATAGCTGTGGTCCTCTGTAGCTCAGCTGGTAGAGCTGTGGTCCTCTGTAGCTCATCTGGTAGAGCTGTGGTCCTCTGTAGCTCAGCTGGTAGAGCTGTGGTCCTCTGTAGCTCAGCTGGTAGAGCTGTGGTCCTCTGTAGCTCAGCTGGTATAGCTGTGGTCCTCTGTAGCTCAGCTGGTATAGCTGTGGTCCTCTGTAGCTCAGCTGGTAGAGCTGTGGTCCTCTGTAGCTCAGCTGGTAGAGCTGTGGTCCTCTGTAGCTCAACTGGTAGAGCACAGTGCTTGTAACGCCAAGGTAGTGGGTTCGATCCCTGGGGCCACCCATACACAAAAATGTATGCACGCATGACTGTATGTCGCTTTGGATAAAAGCGTCTGCTAAAATGGCATATTATAACTATTTTTGGTTCCAAGTAGAACCCTTTTCGGTTCCATGTGAAATCCTCTCTGGAAAGGGTTCTACATGGAACCCAAAAGTGTTCTACCTGGAACCCAAAAGGGTTCTTCAAAGGGTTCTCCTATGGGGACAGCCCAATAACCTTTTTAGGTTCTAGATAGCGCCTTTTTTTTTCTATGAATGTATCAGCTGATCCTGTCTATTAGCTTCTCCTATCTATTCAGACCAATGTGCCAGATGTGTATGCTAGCCTGTGCCTTGCTCCAGCAGGGGATCATGTATCTGGGCTAGATCGTGGTGCCTTGGCCCTGACAGCACCTCTCTGCTCTGCACTCCCATTAAAGCGCTTGTAATAATCGGTTCATGAGAAGGGCTGCGTCCCAAAGGCACCCTATTCCTTATATGGGCCCTGGTCAAAAGTAGTGCACTATGTAGGGAATAGGGTGCCATTTGGGATACAGGGAGAGGAGGCAGGAAGCAGAATCCAGGTCAGTCATTTCCCCTCGACTCTCTGCTTCCATCATCCACGGGCCCATCCACCACTATGAAGTGAAGGATCCCTATTGGCCGAAGACAAACCATAAATCAACCCTTCCAAAGTAATAGATGTTGATCAGCACCACTTCCAGACATTGTTTTACAAGCCGTGGCCAATGAGGGGAGAGGAAGAGAGGGAGAATGGAAGGAGAGGGAGGGGGGGTGGTTTAGGTACTCTGTGAGTGTGACGTGCCCAGCATGTTGGCAGGATGTTCTCTGGAGGTTCAGTGATGCATCAAAAAAGAAAGATCCTCCTCTCTCTCTCTGCGCTGGAAATCTTCCACAAGCCTGCGGTAACTCCCCCCGCCCACCTTCTGTCTCCCTCCCCCCCCCCCCCTGTCTCCCCCCCGTCTCCCCCTTCCTCCCTTCTCTCCCCTGCAGAATGACTCGTGGGGTAAGCAGTACTCGTACGCTCTCTTCAAGGCTATGAGCCACATGCTGTGTATTGGGTATGGTGCCCGGGCGCCCGTCAGCATGTCCGACCTGTGGATCACCATGCTCAGCATGATCGTAGGCGCCACCTGCTACGCCATGTTCGTGGGTCACGCCACCGCTCTCATCCAATCACTGGACTCCTCCCGCAGGCAGTACCAAGAGAAGGTACGTAGCTCAGACCGTTATCTAATGTAATACAATTAATGTAATACAATTAATTAAAACAAAAGCATAATAAAAACCATGACATTATTTAATTGAATTAAATAATGTCATGGTTTTTATTATGCTTTTGTTTTAATTATCAGTCTACTAATATTTTGGTACACCTGTTTTGGTTGACCATATTGTGATATTCTCGTTTTCGTCATAAGGTAAGTGGTGTATTATTTTCAAAGTGTTTATATTTTATTTAAACGGATTATGCTTATTTCTCCCAGGTAGATTAGGCCTCTGCTATCTAGGCCTGTGTTTTAGGGGTTGTGTAAAGCACTCACAGATTCACAGATTACAATATCCCCCCCGCTCACTGGCTCTGAAAGAGGATTTTCTGAAAGCCGTCATGGATCCCAAACACCCTGGGGTGAAGAGGTTCCCAGACAGAACTACAGTAGCACTATGTCTGTGTCCCAAATGGTACCCTATTCCTCTGGTCAAAAGTAGTGCACTATGTTGGGAACAGGGTGCCATTTGGGACGCAACCCATCTCTGTTTGGGTGCTTTTAGGGAACACATTGAGGGGAGGTTCTGTAATCTAGATCAGGGTTTCCCAAACTCGGTGCTGGGGCCCCCCCTTGGTGCACGTTTTGGTTTTTGCCCTAGCACTACACAGAGGATTCAAATAATAAAAGCTTGATGATGAGCTGGTTATTTGAATCAGCCGTGTAGTGCTAGGGCAAAAAAAAAAAAAACTCAAAATGCAACATTTTCAAAAATTTTGCTGAGTTACAGTTCATATAAGGAAATCAGTCAATTGAAATAAATTAATTAGGCCCTATCTATGGATTTCACAACTGGGAATACAGATACGCATCTGTTGGTCACAGATACCTTAAAAAAAGGTAGGGCTGTGGATCAGAAAACCAGTCAGTATCTGGTTTGACTACCATTTGCTTCATGCAGCGCGACACATCTCCTTCGCATAGAGTTGATTAGGCTGTTGATTGTGGCCTGTGGAATGTTGTCCCACTCCTCTTCAATGGCTGTGTGAAGTTGGTGGATATTGTCGGGAACTGGAACACACTGTCGTACACGTCGATCCAGAGCATCCCAAACATGCTCAATGGGTGACATGTCTGGTGAATATGCAGGCCATGGAAAACTGGGACATTTTCAGCTTCCAGGAATTGTGTACAGATCCTTGCGACATAGGGCCGTGTATTATCATGCTGAAACATCAGGTGATGGCGGCGAATAAATGGCATGAATGGCATTCAAATTGCCATCAATAAAATGCAATTGTGCTCATTGTCCGTAGCTTATGCCTGCCCATACCTTAACCCCACCGCCACCATGCGCACTCTGTTCATAACGTTGACATCAGCAAACCGCTCGCCCACACACAACGCCATACACGTGGCCTGCAGTTGTGAGGCCGGTTGGACGTACTGCCAAATTCTGTAAAACAACGTTGGAGGCAGCTTATGGTAGAGACATTAAACATTCAATTATCTGGCAACAGCTCTGGTGGACATTCCTACAATCAGCATGCCAATTGCATCTGTGGCATTGTGTTGTGTGACAAAACTGCACATTTTAGAGTGGCCTTTTAGTGTCCCCAGCACAAGGTGCACTTGTGTAATGATCATGCTATTTAATCAGCTTCTTGATATGCCACACCTGTCAGGTGAATGGATTATCTTGGCAAATGAGAAATGCTCACTAACAGGGATGTAAACAAATATGTGCACAACATTTGAGAGAAATAAGCTTTTTGTGCATATAGAACATTTCTGGGATCTATTATTTAAGCTCATGAAACATGGGACCAATACTTATATTTTTGTTCAGTATATAATCACTGTACCCATATTTATCTGTCCTGAATCTGACCCTTAGATAGATTAGTTGGCGATCTATGACTTTAGCCATAATAATCTGTGCCAGCTCTGACCCTTGGATAGGTTTGTTAGTAGGCTCACCTGTGAGTGACCTAGCAAACCATAATAATCTGTTCTAGCGCTAAACCTTGGGTAGATTGGTAATTGTAGCATCAGTAGATACAGTTGAAGTCGGAAGTTTACATACACTGAGGTTGGAGTCATTAAAACTTGTTTTTCAACCACTCCACAAATTTCTTGTAAACGAACTATATTTTTGGCAAGTCGGTTAGGACATCTACTTTGTGCATGACACAAGTAATTTTTCCAACAATTGTTTAAAGACAGATTATTTCACTTATAATGCACTGTATCACAATTCCAGTGGGTCAGAACTTTACATACACTAAATTCACTGTGCCTTTAAACAGCTTGGAAAATTCCATAAAATTATGTAATGGCTTTAGAAGCTTCTGATAGGCTAATTGACATCATTTGAGTCAATTGGAGGTGTACCTGTGGATGTATTTCAAGGCCTACCTTCAAACTCAGTGCCTCTTTGCTTGACAACATGGGAAAATGAAAAGAAATCAGCCAAGACCTCAGAGAAAAATGTGTAGAGCTCCACAAGTCTGGTTCATCCTTGGGAGCAATTTCCAAACGACTGAAGGTACCACGTTCATCTGCACAAACAATAGTACGCAAGTATAAACACCATGGGTCCACGCAGGCGTCATACCGCTCAGGAAGGAGACGCGTTCTGTCTCCTAGAGATGAACGTACTTTGGTGCGAAAAGTGCAAATCAATCCCAGAACAACAGCAAAGGACCTTGTGAAGATGCTGGAGGAAACAGGTAAAAAAGTATCTATATCCACAGTAAAACGAGTCCTATATCGACACAACATGAAAGGCCACTCAGCAAGGAAGAAGCCACTGCTCCAAAACCGCCATAAAAAAGCCAGACTACGGTTTGCAACTGCACATGGGGACAAAGATCTTACTTTTTGGAGAAATATCCTCTGGTCTGATGAAACAAAAATAGAACTGTTTGGCCATAATGACCATCGTTATGTTTAGAGGAAAAAGGGGGTGCTTGCAAGACAAAGAACACCATCCCAAGCGTGAAGCACGGGGGTGGCAGCATCATGCTGTGAGGGTGCTTTGCTGCAGGAGGGACTGGTGCACTTCACAAAATAGATGGCATCATGAGGAAGGAAAATTATGTGGATATATTGAAGCAACATCTCAAGACATCAGTCAGGAAGTTAAAGCTTGGTCACAAATGGGTCTTCCAAATGGACAATAACCCCAAGCATACTTCCAAAGTTGTGGCAAAATGGCTTAAGGACAACAAAGTCAAGGTATTGGAGTGGCCATCACAAAGCCCTGACCTCAATCCTATAGAACATTTGTGGGCAGAATTGAAAAAGCGTGTGCGAGCAAGGAAGCCTACAAACCTGACTCAGTTACACCAGCTCTGTCAGGGGGAATGGGCCAAAATTCACCCAACTTATTGTGGGAAGCTTGTGGAAGGCTAACCGAAACGTTTGACCCAAGTTAAACATTTTAAAGGCAATGCTACCAAATACTAATTGAGTGTATGTAAACTTATGACCCACTGGGAATGTGATGAAAGAAATAAAAGTTAAAATAAATAATTCTCTCTACTATTATTCTGACATTTCACATTCTTAAAATAAAGTGGTGATCCTAACTGACCTAAGACAGGGAATTTTTACTAGGATTAAATGTCAATAATCACTGATCTGCTTTCAAGTGTTTCTATGAACATGCCCTTCTTGTTACAAATGTAACCAGACCCACCATGCACATCCACTAATAATGGCCAACTTCCTGTAGCAGGCAGTATAGAAAATGAACACAGGTCTCATAAACATTGAGTGCTAGTGCTAGTGAGTAGCCAGTTAATCTGTATATTTCAAGTCTAGCCAACTTGGATCTATTTGCTTGCTAACGAGGTAGAACAGTTGAACTGTTATGAACACACCCTCATGTCCGTCTCCAACTGTTTGAACAACATAGGCTGTTCACTTTGTTTAGATGTTGAAATCAGGTGGCCTACCTGGATAAGAAGATGCTTATTTCTCAGAATGACAATGAGATGCCAATTCCTGATAGAAATGTGTCTTTTCATGCTCATTGTACATTTATAAAACACAGACTAGACAGCTAGCACATGACAGTATGTGGATAAAATGCTGCTAGCCGCAATGCCGCGCACGACCGAAACGACATTTCCCACAATGATATTCATTGATTCTCCCGTTTTAGTAAGGTCTGCTCTGTTCTAAATGTTGGCAATTGAGACATAAAATTGGTATCGTTTGAAGGGGAATCAACCGATTCTGTTGGACCAAACCTCAAATGCAAAATAGCGAGTTGAAACTGCTTGTTGTCAGAGAGGAAGAAGTTATCTTTAGTCTTTGTTGTTGTGATTGACAGGGGGAGGGGCTTGGTGTCTGTGGAGTGGGAAGGTTCACACAACACAGAAGGAGGAGTGGCTTGGTGGCAGTGGGAGGAGCTTGGTGTCTGTGGAGTGGGAAAATGCAAAGTGCATACAGCTCAGAAGGAGGAGTGGCTTAGTGCCAGGGGAAGGGGCTTGGTGTCTGAGTGGGAATGTCCACAGTGCACACCGCACAGAAGGAGGAGTGGCTTAGTGGCAGGCGGAGGGGCTTGGTGTCTGTGGGAAGGGGAACAGGGTACAGAAGGAGGAGTGGCTTGGTGGCAGGCGGAGGGGCTTGGTGTCTGAGTGGGAAGGGGAACAGGGTACAGAAGGAGGAGTGGCTTAGTGGCAGGCGGAGGGGCTTGGTGTCTGAGTGGGAAGGGGAACAGGGTACAGAAGGAGGAGTGGCTTAGTGGCAGGCGTAGGGGCTTGGTGTCTGAGTGGGAAGGGGAACAGGGTACAGAAGGAGGAGTGGCTTAGTGGCAGGCGGAGGGGCTTGGTGTCTGAGTTGGAAGGGGAACAGGGTACAGAAGGAGGAGTGGCTTAGTGGCAGGCGTAGGGGCTTGGTGTCTGAGTGGGAAGGGGAACAGGGTACAGAAGGAGTAAAGGAGACAAGACCCAAAATACATAAACGCTCATAAAAAAAGAATAAACAAAACTTGATTCTTGCGATACAGGCCTACCTTAGAGAATGTTCATATAGAACACAGAACTCATAGAATATATTTACAACTTCCATTGTACATAGAACACATCTAACCATGTGAAGATCACACAACGACGATCAGTAGCTAGCTGTATAAAATCAGTTGAATCAGCCGACCACACCGGTCGGTCTCATAGCCACAGCCCTGCTCAGATCAGAGATCACAGAGCCACTGTCTCAGGGGATTTTTCACACTACTGAGCCGAACTGAGCCCAGCCAAACCAAGCAGTTACGATCTCTCCTGATTACGCATCCACCATAGCTACTGTAACTGTGCTGGAAAGGACAATGTGAAATAATCTATCAGAGCAGCACAGTTTGGTCTGGGTCTGGGCGATGGGGTCAACAGGGTACCAGTGTAGGAGGGCACAGAGATTCATGGGCCATCTGATCAAATAGAATAGCCCTGCCCAGGACATGAACCAGACACCTTCTGGGCCGGCTCCGCCTCTCTAACCTCCGGGCTTCCTGCCGCCTTACACGCACCAAACAGCATGATATTATGATTTGATTTGATTTGACCATTATCTCCTGGCAACAGATACATATGCTAAAAGACTTGTTTCCATTGTGGTCGTCCAATGTGAGCCGCCATGGGAATGGAGGGATGCACAGCCCATCTATGGGCCAGTATGAACCGATGATGCTGCTTCTGACAGCATGGTAGTATGATACCCCTGTGTGGATTTGCTGCATCACTGTGCAGAGAAGGAGGAACAGCAGGAGGAATGGTTACGGAAGGTTTCACCCTCTGGTCGATTTTCACCTCCGCCTGCTGGGGATGAAGTGTGTGGGGGGGGGGGGGGGCCTGCACTGAAATGCCCTGTTGCTGGGAAACCCTACATGGCCCTGGCCCTGACAGCAGAATGAACATAATATATATATACAGGAATACAGTCGTTTCATAACACGTTACATAGTCAGATGCATATTGAAACCATATATATATAAAAACCAGACTTGACTACACTAGAACATCCCAGATGTGATAATACCCATTTATCCATAGATAGATGTACAATCTAATACTGCATCTAACCTCTTATTAAATGCTGTGTTGTCTGTAATGGAATGTTCCGTCTCTGTCCAGAAGGATATAATGAGTAATTGTATTGTCCATAACTGATTCTCTATAACGTAATATAGCTAACCTAATGTTTTTTTTATTAGGATACATTGCACCATGCAGTAAATATCATTTTAATGAGGACAATGCCTGTAAATATGTATAGAGAATTAAATGCGACTTTATAAATATTATTAACATTACAACTATTGACTCTGAATCAATTTCTCCAGTTTTTTATTGTCTCTTAAGATACTTCTAGGATCATTGAGTTTGCAACAGCCATATAGTCCTCTGCTGAAATGATGGTTTCTAGAAGGGCTGAGAACACGGCTGTGAAAAGGGTATATTTACCTATTTACCTCAGAGAACATTGTGTGTCCACAGGAGCACAAAAACGTATTAACGTTCCTTAACGTTCCTTAAGAACCAGGGATGGATTAAGCTTCCTCCTCTGTCCTCACAGACATTCTGTACCTTGCATTTAATGAGCAAAGGCAAGAGGACATACCGTCTTTTCTTCAGCAGCAAGCACAAAGCACATTCATTCCTTTTGTTGGGAATGTGACTCGTCACGATGCATTGCAGATTTGAAATTATTCACAGTAAACATGCACAGAGGCCACAGAAACAAAATAACAGTAACACATTATTTTAAGGCTACCTACATAAGGATGTCATAACACATTTGTAAGCAAGATAGATTATTCATAAATGCTTACGGCATGAGTCAGATGCATACATAGCTTCTCTAACCAGACGTGACCAAACCACACCTCAACATATCTCAGTCACAGTGACAGAGAGTCCCGTTCTAAATTTAAACATGTCAGATACCCTTGGACTGTGTGCCTAGAATAAATGGATTCACCTTAAACAAAACCTGGTCCCTTATCACCTCGCTGCGGCTGTGGAGAATCAATGTGAAACAACCATGTGACGGGACGTGGGTTTTTTCCTTTTAACAAAGATAAAAAAAATTGGGATCGTGATGTTACTGTGGGATGCTGCTTCCTGAGGCTACCGTTAGTTTTTGTTCACACCTCATGCTGACACCCTTACCTGAGGTTGTGTGTGTGTTTGTGTTTGTGTTTGTGTGTGTGTGTGTGTGTGTGTGTGTGTGTGTGTGTGTGTGTGTGTGTGTGCGCACGTGCACGTACATGTACCTGTTTGACTAAGCCAGAGCAGAGCAGCTATCGTCTGATTAAAATAGCTGAGCTGCTGAAGGATCCCTCTCTCTCTGTCGGTCTGCACTCTCTCTAACTCCCTGTAGACAATGCCCCCATCTCCATTGGCCTAATAGAGTTCCGTCATGCCTGTGTGTGATGTTAATTTGGCAGGGAGTCAATACCTACAAGCCCGTGGTACCTTGACTTTGACAGCCGTGTGCAATTACATCACCGATGCTTTGATTAGGCCATTTACTTTCTCAGGCTACGCTTTCCATGACATTGGACTAATGGAGAAAATTTGAAAACGGAAAGAATCCTGTCTAGTATGTGTCAATCCATGCATATATTATGAAAGCTAAAGTGTAGCATTACAGTTTATCCGCAGGAGAGCAGGTTTCTCCTCCCTGGTCTAGGGCTGTGTCCCAAATGCCACCCTATTCCCTATATAGTGCACTAATTTTGACCAGAGCCTCCCTGTGGGCCCTGGTTAAAAGTAGTAAACCATATAGGGAATAGGGTGGCATTTGGGATGCAGTCCTAGCCTTCTCGACGGGACAGCAGAGAGGATTACATGGGGGTTGGTGTGAAGAGTGACTCAGCTGTTCTTTTCCACCTCATTTCCTCATTCTGATGCACAGTCAGTATCCCTCCCCTGGGCGCATTACAGCCGATCATGTCATTGATGACATCAGAATGACTCCACTGGAGACCACAGACAGCACCCTGATGAGAGAGACTGACTCCAGATCAGATGTTGAGACAGATTAATGACTCCACTGGAGACCACAGACAGCACCCTGATGAGAGAGACTGACTCCAGATCAGATGTTGAGACAGAGGACATCTCAAATGAAATGAATCGTTATTTAAAGTGCGTTTAAAATCTCCAACACACTAAAACAGTAAAAGAAAAACATGAAGGAAATAAAATGAAAACAAGCAGGAAGAATAAAGGAAAAACAGACAGGCGACAACACAATGAAAATAAAATAGCACTATTATTAATCTGCCCTGTGAGACATCGCTTACTGCAGAGACTGACTCCAGTCAGTAAATACTTTCTTAACACTTATTTTTTCTTAAAACTGCATTGTTGGTTAAGGGCTTGTAAGTAAGCATTTCACTGTAAGGTCTACTACGCCTGTTGTATTCGGCGCATGTGACAAATAACATTTGATTTGATTTGATGCTGTGACAGATTAATTATTCCATTAGGGCACATCACCCTGTAGAGAGACGGACTCCAGACCAATGTTGTGACAGAGGCCCCAGAAGACCTCTGCCTTACGACAACCACTCCTCTGAGACATAATGACAACCACAGTCAAGACACTCCGTACAGAATTATGCATGGCATGTCTTGAGTACATGCATTTGATTGCTTTATTTTCCTCCTCTGTGTAATGTGTCATATTGAACTGACTATGATTGCAGATGATAATGTGGCCTCTCTGAGACCTATTCAGTCACTGATATGGGTGTATTAATTCTCTCTTGTTTAAGTGAGGTCATGGGTAGCCTACATTGAGAGAGATGAGAGCGATTCTTCACTGTGTGAGCTGATCAGAACGGCAGCAGCCTCGCTCTGAGGGGCCTCAGGCTGTACTTGTTCCTCCTTCGACCACCTGCTACTTCCATACGCGATGACCCTGGATACTATCTGTCAGCCCACTGTGTCTGTGTGTGTCTGTGTGTGTCTGTGTGTGTCTGTGTGTGTCTGTGTGTGTCTGTGTGTGTCTGTGTGTGTGTGTGTTGTGAATGTCCTTGGTTCCTATTACAACCAACCATATTGACTGTAATGTTTGCTAATACCTTCCTTCAAATGTTATTTTACCAACCAATTGTTTTCGGTGCTATGAAGTCAAATGTGAAAGCCTTTGTTGTCGGATATTTTTCTATTTTCTGTTAATTTGGTTTATTGACATTATCTCTTCTCTCCATCTTTACAGTACAAACAAGTGGAGCAGTACATGTCGTTCCACAAGCTACCTGCAGACATGCGGCAGAAGATTCATGATTACTATGAACATCGCTATCAGGGCAAGATCTTTGATGAGGACAATATCCTGAGTGAGCTCAACGACCCGCTCAAAGAGGTGAGGATGATGCCTTGTGTTGTCTTTTCTATTCTGTCGTGTGTCACAAATGGCACCCTATTCCCTATATAGTGCACTGCTTATGACCAGAAGCCATATGGGCCCTGGTCAAAAGTAGTGCACTGTATGGGGAATAGGCTACCCATTTGGGACACCATCAAGGCTTTGTAAATGGCCGTTTGTCACAGGGATTCATTCACCGTCAAAGAAAGGCGACCTTTCTTAAATATAATCTCCAAGCATCTCTAATGCTGAGTTGTTTTATCGCTAATTAATTTGCTTATGCATTTATGATATACCAATATTTATACTTTAAATATCATACTGGTCCATTGACTGGGTGAATTTATCATCAATGGATGATTATTGAGAAGGGTGTCTGTAAAACATATCTCATGTGCTTTATTACAAATGTAATAAACACACTGCACAAATTGATTCACTACAGCTGGTGGAACACAAGCTAAACAGATAAATTAATTTAATTGGCGTCAAGACAGTCAGTTGCTCAAGCACGCAATACACAGGTGTGAAACAAGAGAGATCAGGAAGTGAGATGACAATTTCATCTGATTAGTGTTTAGACCCATTAAGACATCAACCCAACAAATAGACAGACACGCGATGAGTTCCCAGTGCTTTGAAAATACAGAGCCTGCCTCTGAAGTGGCATCCTATTCACTATGTAGCGCATCACTTTAGAAGTGCACTATAAGGCCCTACAGGGAATTTGATGACACATCAGATACAGTCACAGTAAAAAAAAAAAAAAGAAGGCAAGACAAGTTTAAGTTTCTTAAATTCAGTGACCAATTTAAGGCTGTCTTTGTTCTTTGTGTCAACCCTCCACCTACTTCATGGTTGGCTGACCTCTCTGTATGAGCAGATAAGGGCTCTCATGTAGCCTAATGATGCAGAGATGGTGGATTGGAGAGGAGGAGAGAGGTGGAAATGAGGGATAGAGGAGGGAGGGGAGGGGAGAGAGGGAGAAGAGAAGAGAAGAGGAGGGGTTTAATTGCCCATGCCTCTCATGTAACCCCATTAAGTCACCAACCAGAATGAGACATATTGGAGCACAGTATTGCCTGGCCCAGCACAGGAAAAGGTAGATCTACACCAGTGGAGGCTGCTGAGGGGAGAACGGCTCTACAGCACAGGAAACCATAGATCTATACAGAACAGTAGACAACATAGGTTGTCGACAACATGGGTTTATACAAAACAGTAGAGCACATGGCAGCATTGACACAGCAGAGCACAAGCAAAGGTCTATACAGCACGGTAAAGCAAAGCCCAGATAACCCAGTCTTGCCCACAATACCGAGAACAAGACAGATCCACAGAGCACTGAACTGGACAGGAACGCATATTTCACCCCATCCCGGCAGAACAAAGCATAGCTCAGTTCAGCTAGGTTCATCTCAGTTCAGCTAGGTTCATCTCAGCTCAGCTAGGTTCATCTCAGCTCAGCTAGGTTCATCTCATCTCAGCTCAGCTAGGTTCATCTCAGCTCAGCTCAGCTAAATTAATCTCAGCTCAGCTAAATTAATCTCAGCTTAGCTCAGCTAAATTCATCTCAGCTCAGCTAAGTTAATCTCAGCTCAGCTAAATTAATCTCAGCTCAGCTAAATTAATCTCAGCTCAGCTAGGTTAATCTCATCTCAGCTCAGCTAGGTTCATCTCAGCTCAGCTCAGCTAGGTTCATCTCAGCTCAGCTCAGCTAGGTTCATCTCAGCTCAGCTCAGCTAGGTTCATCTCAGCTCAGCTCAGCTAGGTTCATCTCAGCTCAGCTCAGCTAGGTTCATCTCAGCTCAGCTCAACTAGGTTCACCTCAGCTCAGCTCAGCTAGGTTCATCTCAGCTCAGCTCAGCTAGGTTCACCTCAGCTCAGCTCAGCTAGGTTCAGCTCAGTTCAGTATATCACAGCTGGCATCACACAGCACAACAGAGACAACCAGACATACAGTGCCTTCAGAAAGTATTCACACCCCTTGACCTTTTCCACATTTTGTTGTTTTACAGCCTGAATTTAAAATGGATGAAATTTAGATTTTGTGTCACTGGCCTACACACAATACCCCATAATGTCAGTGGAATTATGTTATATTTTTTATTTTTACAAATTCATTATAAATGAAAAGCTGAATGTCTTGAGTCAATAAGTATTCAACCCATTTGTTATGGCAAGCCTAAATAAGTTCAGGAGTAAACATTTGCTTAACAAGTCACACAATAAGTTGCATAGAATCACTGTGTGTGCAATAATAGTGTTTAACATGATTTTTGAATGATTACCTCATCTCTGTACCCCTCAGTCCCTCAGTCGAGCAGTGAATTTCAAACACAGATTCAACCACAAAGACCAGGGAAGTTTTCCAATGCCTCGCAAAGAAGGGCACCTATTGGTAGATGGGTTATACAAATATATAAAAAGCAGACATTGAATATCCCTTTGAGCATGGTGAAGTTATTAATTACACTTTGGATGGTGTATAAATACACCCAGTCACTATAAAGATACAGGCGTCCTTCCTAACTCAGTTGCCGGAAAGGAAGGAAACTGCGCAGGGATTTCAGCATAAGGCCAATGGTGACTTTAAAACAGTTACAGAGTTTATTGGCTGTGATAGGAGAAAACGGAGGATCAACAACATTCTAGTTACTCCACAATACTACCCTAAAAGAAGTAAACCTGTACCGAATAAAACATTTCCATAACATGCATTCTGTTTGCAACAAGGCACTAAAGTATATATATATTTTTTGGCAAAGCAATTCACTTTTTGTCCTGAATAAAAAGTGTTATATTTGGGGCAAATCCAATACATATTTTCAAGCATACTGTTATGGGTATGCTTGTAATCATTAAGGACTGGGGAGTGTTTCAGGATAAAACATCTATGGAATGGAGCTACACACAGGCAAAATCCTAGAGGAAAATCTGGTTCAGTCTGCTTTCAACCAGACACTGGGAGATTAATTCACATTTCACCAGGACATTCACCTAAAACACAAGGCCAAATCTACACTGGTGTTGCTTACCAAGAAGAAAGTGAATGTTCCGGAGTGGCCAAGTCACAGTTTTGACCTAAATCTACTTAAAAATCTATGGCAATACCTGAAAATGGTTGTCTAGCAATGATCAACAACCAATTTGACAGAGCTTGAAGAATTTTAAAAATAATTATGGGCAAATGTTGCACAATCCAGGTGTGGAAAGCTCTTAGAGACTTGCCCAGAAAGACTCGCTGCCAAAGGTGCTTCTACAAGGTATTGACTCAGGGGTGTGAAAACTTATGTCAATTACATATTTCTGTATTTCATTTTCAATAAATTTGCAAACATTTCTAAAAACATGTTTTCAGTTCGTCATTATGGGGTATTGTGTGTAGATGGGTAAAAAAAAAACTTACAATTTAAGCCATTTTGAATTCAGGCTGTAACACAACAAAATCTGGAATAAGTCAAGGGTATAAATACTTTCTAAAGGCACTAAATCAGGGAAGAGAGTGGAAGGAAGAGTGTGGGTGGGTGATGATGATGACGTTCACCCTATGGTGAGAAAACAGTTAAAGCTTCATCTCGGCAATTTCTGCAGCTGGTCGGACGTCATTTCAATGCAGCTAGGCAGTTATTTATACTTCCAGGCACCGCTGCCATGTGACAAGTTTGCTGCTTTAAATAGATAAAGTCTGAAGATTGTTTCCCTGGTGGGGCTCCATCCTGGCCAAGCCGGGCCGGGCTGAATACTGGGTATCTAATTCATTAATCGTTGTGCATGATTGAGGTCAGAACCCATGGCTTTGGCTGGCCCACTGCTACTGTTGTCTCAGTACTGAGCTGACAGCACAAAACCCAGCCAGACAGGAGGATTGGCTGATGTCTCCTCGGCTCAGATGCTCCCATTGGAGAGTCCTCATCTCTCACAGGAAGTGAGTAAGTGGTTAGTGGAGCAGTGAAGGCCAAGCTCTGTCTGTCAGTCTGTCTGCATGGAGGAGAGGAGGGGAGGCAGGTAGGCACTGCTCAGTAAACACTAACAGACCCCCCATTTAGGAAACAATCTCCTGCTGTTATCTGAGATAACCAGAGAGATGATTGCCCTCTGTTGAGGGCAAGATCATCATCATCAGAGACAAGTTTCCGCACATTTTCAAGAGTACCATTTTCCTTATACTTTAAACAAGCACCAAACTAAAACATTGGAAGAGAGCCATTCTTAAACCAACCCTGAATGACACCATACAGCAAACAATATCCTGTTGTGTCTGAAGAGACTAAGGCCATGATCATCATCATCAAAGACAATAGCACCAAAAGTTCCCCCAAAGAGTGATGAAAAGTGCTTTTGTAGATATTACATCAATTCCAATGCAGAGACAGGATGAATATTGAGATTGCCTGTTGAACTTGGATTTGTCCCATTAGAATATTATACTAAATTACATTAACAAAAAGTAATTGGAGAACTCGTCAAGGCTGTCCACTATCACCACTCTAATTCGCCCTGATGTTTGAGCCTGACAGCAGCTATACTGTATGTAATCAAGAAGGACTAGCAGAGGGTCAAGATAGGAAAATAATTTGCCTATCTCATATCCATTAGAGAAAGGGACACCTTTGTCAAACACCTTTATTATAGTTTTCGCAATATGTATTATGAACAATGTATCTAAAACTATTTTTTCTATATTTTTTTCCAGGAAATTGTGAACTTCAACTGTCGGAAGCTGGTGGCTACCATGCCGCTGTTCGCCAACGCAGACCCCAACTTCGTTACGGGCATGTTGAGCAAGCTGAAGTTCGAGGTGTTCCAGCCCAACGATTACATAATCAGGGAGGGCACCGTGGGCAAGAAGATGTACTTCATCCAACATGGTGTGGCCAGTGTCATCACCAAGCTTAACAAAGAGATGAAGCTGACTGACGGCTCTTACTTTGGAGGTACGTAGGGAAAATAAAGACTTTGTGTGTGTGTGTTATCTGCAGTACCTTTTCTCTATTGGAAGTGGATATTCAACCAACAGAACCAAAGGGCAAGGTTAGACTTAGGGATAAACATTGTACCAAGCTTAAACATGAAAAGAGAGCATTTCTTAAACCAACTGTGACAGACCGCTGTAAATGCATACTCAGACCCACTCCATCCATTTAGATATATCATGTTTTTACAGAGCCAATTACAGAGACTATTAAGCAGTGGGTATACAGTGAATATGAATGCAACACTCAGTCAGCAATATCTCTCCAGTTTCAATTCCTCTGCTTTCATGTTTGTCCCATCACTGCAGATGCAGATTAAATTTTTTTTGGGATGGGAGTTAGCTTCTCCAATTATATAACGTTCATCTGGATGGGGTGGTGGAAGGTGGGGTAGGGGGGGGGGGGGGGGGGGGGTGAAGGGGAGCCAAGCCAAGCTGGGGATCAGGGCTCAGAGCACCCAGAGGACAAACAAAGGTTGCATGTCTGTCTGTTCTGTTTGGGCTCTGCTGCAGCAGCCAACAGAGAATGTCCTTTTGCATAATTGAGGGAGTAATTCCCCCCGTCTCTGTAGCACGTTATACAAACTATCCAATATTTAGCCATCGAACGATTCGTTTAAAGGCAGTTGTTTACATTGCCAAATTATTCTCAGGCGTCTCGTTTATGTCATGAAAGAGAGAAGCAGGTTTGAAACTATTCTTAGAAAAGGGATGTGATGTTACATTTTTCATTTGGTCCAAGTTCACCCCCTTCCCACGGAAAGATGACTTGGGATTCTAAGAATATCTTCTGGCTGTGTGGTGTTCATGCCTGTGTGGTGTTCATGCCTCATGGAATCTTCCAGATAGATGTGGCTTGTCTTGGGGGAAAAAGTGGTGAATCAAAAAAATCAAATGAGTGGAGGATCTTTTCATTCCAGCTGTCTGAATAACCTCACATCCAATTATTTAATACCGTACCGTTGGTCCTCTAGTCCAAATGTTCAATTCAATTGAAAACCGGTAACTACAACCAAGCAATCAAAAAAACAGTATCATACCTTGCTTTTGATGCATGTTAGATTAGCATATGTACTGTATTGTAATCAAATGATTCATCCACTAATATGATTTCCCAAAATTTGTTTAGCCTTTATGTCAACACAGTAGACAGTAACCCCAGTAGACAGGGCTGAATCTGATTAGGAGTAACTAGAAACTTTAGATTGGGTCCCATTGGAGGGTATAATGAATGACTCTCACTGTAATTGGATTTAACAGCAGTTGATCAATACACGCTGTGTATCTCTGTCAGATCAGGCTGCAGGGGGGCTAATTGTGACTGGACAAACTCGTTCAGGTAACTCTGTTAAGATTTAGTAAAGACATCTTATAAAAAAGAAGTTCCAAATGAATGATGAATTTAAAGAAGCTGTCCGACGTTATATTGTTTTGTTGTGACTGCCTAAGTTTCATTAATGTGTCATTCAACTCTACTAGCATACCTTGAACGCGCCCATATTTTATAGAGACCATTTCACAGGTATACACAACAGTATTTTATAGAGACCATTTCACAGGTATACACAACAGTTTTTTATAGAGACCATTTCACAGGTAAACACAACAGTATTTTATAGAGACCATTTCACAGGTATACACAACAGTATTTTATAGAGACTATTTCACAGGTATACACAACAGTATTTTATAGAGACCATTTCACAGGTATACACAACAGTATTTTATAGAGACCATTTCACAGGTATACACAACAGTATTTTATAGAGACCATTTCACAGGTATACACAACAGTATTTTATAGAGACCATTTCACAGGTATACACAACAGTATTTTATAGAGACCATTTCACAGGTATACACAACATTATTTTATAGAGACCATTTCACAGGTATACACTACAGTATTTTATAGAGACCATTTCACAGGTATACAACACAGTATTTTAGAGACCATTTCACAGGGGATACACAACAGTATTTTATAGAGACCATTTCACGGTATACACAACAGTATTTTATGAGACCATTTCACAGGTATACACAACAGTAATTTTATAGAGACCATTTCACAGGGATACACAACAGTAAATTTTATAGAGACCATTTCACAGGTATACACAACAGTATTTTATAGATACCATTTCACAGGTATACACAAAAATTATTTTATAGAGACCATTTCACAGGTATACACTACAGGGATTTTATGAGACCATTTCACAGGTATACACAACAGTATTTTATAGAGACCATTTCACAGGTATACACAACAGTATTTTATAGAGACCATTCACAGGTATACACACAGTATTTTATAGAGACCATTTCACAGGTATACACAACAGTATTTTATAGAGACCATTTCACAGGTATACACTACAGTATTTTATATAGACCATTTCACAGGTATACACAACAGTATTTTATAGAGACCATTTCACAGGTTATACACAAACAGTATTTTATAGAGACCATTTCACAGGTATACACAACAGTATTTTATAGAGACCATTTCACAGGTATACACAACAGTATTTTATAGAGACCATTTCACAGGTATACACAACAGTATTTTATAGAGACCATTTCACAGGTATACACAACAGGTATTTTATAGAGACCATTTCACAGGTATACACAACCAGTTATTTATAGAGACCATTTCACAGGTATACACAACAGTATTTTATAGAGACCATTTCACAGGTATACACAACAGTATTTTATAGAGACCATTTCACAGGTATACACAACAGTATTTTATAGAGACCATTTCACAGGTATACACAACAGTATTTTATAGAGACCATTTTCACAGGTATACACAACAGTATTTTATAGAGACCATTTCACAGGTATACACAACAGTATTTTATAGAGACCATTTCACAGGTATACACAACAGTATTTTTATAGAGACCATTTCACAGGTATACACAACAGTATTTTATAGAGACCATTTTCACAGTATCACCTTCTTTTATAGAGAACCACTTTCAACAGTATACCATATTTTATAGAGACCCATTTCACAGGTATACACAACAGTATTTTATAGTAGACCATGTCACAGGTATACACAACAGTATTTTTATAGAGACCATTTCACAGGTATACACAAACAGTATGTTTATAGAGACCATTTCACAGGTATACACCAACAGTATTTTGATAGAGACCATTTCACAGGTATACACAACAGTATTTTACTAGAGACCATTTACACAGGTATACACCACAGTAATTTTATAGAGACCATGTCACAGGTATACACAACCAGATATGTTTATAGAGACCATTTCCACAGGTATACACAACAGTTATTTTGATAGAGACCATTTCACAGGTATACACACAACAGTTATCTTATAAGACCATTTCACAGGTATACACCAACAGTATGTTATAGAGACCATTTCACAGGGATACACAACAGTATTTTATAGAGACCATTTCACAGGTACTACATCAACAGTATTTTATAGAGACCATTTCACAGGTATACACAACAGTATTGTTATAGAGACCATTTTCACGGTATACACCAACAGTATGTTATAGAGACCATTCCAGTTATACCAACAGTATTTTATCGAGACCATTTCACAGGTATACACAACAGTATTTTATAGAGAAACCATTTCACAGGTATACACCAACAGTCGATTTTATAAGACCATTTCACAGGTATACACAACAGTATTTTATAGAGACCATTTCACAGGTATACACAACAGTATTTTATAGAGACCATTTCACAGGTATACACAACAGTATTTTAATAGAGGACCATTTCACAGTATACACAACAGTATTTATAGAGACCATTTCACAGGTATACACAACAGTATTTTATAGAGACCATTTCACAGGTATACACAACAGTATTTTATAGAGACCATTTCACAGGTATACACAACAGTATTTTATAGAGACCATTTCACAGGTATACACAACAGTATTTTATAGAGACCATTTCACAGGTATACACAACAGTATTTTATAGAGACCATTTCACAGGTATACACAACAGTATTTTATAGAGACCATTTCACAGGTATACACAACAGTATTTTATAGAGACCATTTCACAGGTATACACTACAGTATTTTTATAGAGACCATTTCACAGGTATACACAACAGTATTTTATAGAGACCATTTCACAGGTATACACTACAGTATTTTATAGAGACCATTTCACAGGTACACTACAGTATTTTCTGGTCCTCTCTTACAGCTCATACACACCTGTGGGGAAAAGGTGAAAGACACATTTCCATTCTAACCAAATGGACAATAAAGTATCTATTCTATTTTATTAGATTCTACACAACAATAGTTTTATAGCAGTTGGCAGGGCAGTCAGGGGACAGAGACTAATAGCAGAAATAGTTGCAGTGAGAGGGCCTGTGCTTTTTATGAGCAAGATTCATGACAGCCTAGAGACCTGTGACTTTGGAAGGTGAACCAGGGGTCACAGCGAGGGGACAATTAGAGGCTCCATCTAGGGATTGTTTTGTGTAGATTATCACTGTCCTGCTCCTGCTCTGCACACTATGGGTGTGTCCCAAATGGTACCCTATTCCCTATACAGTGGTTTGCGAAAGTATTCACCCCCCTTTGGCATTTTTCCTATTTTGTTGCCGTACAACCTGGAATTAAAATTGATTTTTGGGGGGGTTTGTATCATTTGATTTACACAACATGAAGATGCAAAATATTTTTTATTGTGAAACAAACAAGAAATAAGACAAAAAACTTAAAACTTGAGCGTGCATACAGGGGAATACAGGGGACTACCAAACGTATTTGCTTATTTTTTTCTTTAAGCAATGGCTTTTTTCTGGCCACTCTTCCATAAAGAACAGCTCTGTGGAGTGTATGGCTTAAAGTGGTCCTATGGACAGATACTCCAATCTCCGCTGTGGAGCTTTGCAGCTCCTTCAGGGTTATCTTTGGTCTCT